TACAGTGCAGTAGCATAGTACAGTACTTTCGTGTTACTGTTCCAGGTACCGATAATATTTAGATTTCTCTTATTATAAAGTACAAGTTATGTTTTATAAAGAAGTATAGTATAGTAAATCATGTTTTTGACACAGGATATTCTCATATGCTAACTAAAACAATGCTTAGTCCAGAGTATTACTAGTACTACTGCAAATTAAATTTTTGTATAGACTTAATTTATGTTTATTGTTTTTTATGCAAGTTAGGATTGTTATTATGTTATTGTCAGTTTCTTTTTATGTACCTATCATGCTCACTTGTGGTTTTTTTCCTATTTGCAGCAGACTTAAATTTATGAAAGGGAAAATGAAAGGATGAATTCAACTGTGCGTGAACTCTTGAGTGTTCCCCAGCACTGACAGATACCCCAAACTCGCCAAAATAACATTAGTATTTGTTAAATGTGTATTTGATGACATTTCGTGTATGTTGGACTAAAAACATTTTTTTGTTCACAGTAATCATTGAACATATAGCTTGCTATCCGTCAATCATGTCTTAAATGTATAGTTCTGGGAATCGTTAACAAACAATAATTTAACATTATTTTGTAGTTAATTCCAGTAAACAATGTAATCACAAATAACTTAAAGCTGTTTACTTGAAATAAAGTTTATCTACTTTCATTCAATAGACTTTTTAATATGTTTAAGTTTCATTTTCTTCAAAATTTTGTTTAGATGTATGATTTTTTTGTGTGTGTTTAATTAGAAATGTTTGGTTTCATGTTGAGTATCTGGGTTGCCCTCCCTCCATCGGCAATAATTATTAGGAAAAAGTTAACTATAAGTATGAAATATCTTAGTGAAATTTTAATAACTTCCTAATACATGCAGGGGTGTATCGAGGATTTTTTCTGGGTGGTCGTGATCATAATTTATTGCACCTTTTCACAATGAAATAATAGCAAGATGTGATTAAAATATCAATACAATTTGCTTGAAGAAGATGGCAGGCTCAGTTTCAAAATTTATGGATTTGAGATAGATTACAGTATGTTGCACAATTGGCAAAGTTTTTGGCCTCATTGCTGGTACCTCATCAATGATTTTTTATTTATGTCATTGTGAAAATGACCCTAGAAAAAAATGTCCTGAAAAAATGTGAACCTTTGAACATTTTTTGTTGGGTCGTAGGACCTTCCCGACCCCCCCCCCCTGCATACACCCATGACATGAAAATATTGCAAGAAGTGATTTAATCAGTCAATTTAATGGGTGCTACAAACCACCACTACAGTATTTTGTTTTTCTATTTACATCATATGCTATATATTGAGTAATTCCATGGTAACTGACATTACATTTCATCCTTTATTATATTCACATAGTTACCCACTTTATATTAAAACCGTAGAAAAATGTTACAATTGATGGTGCTAACCACAAAAACAAATAATTAAAAAAAATATCGAAAAAAGATATGTTGAAGAAACATACAAAACATGACTTGTATGCCATGAAATACTGTATTAGTATACTAGAAGTACAGTTAATTATTACAAATTTGGTAAATTGTTTGTAAAATAGTATTGACACTGGTGACTGATGTTATTTTTTGTAGTTGAATTAACCATAATGATTATGCTATTTTGTGTTTGTCACAATACATTGAATTCATTCAGGTTAATAAATAATCTCCTAATTAGTTGTATACATACAAATTATATTTAGTGGGTGTGTAATTGAATCAAACAATCGTGAGTACCCAGTGCTACAAACAACCAACTACTGTACGATAGTTTTTTATGTGCTATTTTGCATTTGTCTCAATATATTGAGATTAGTTAAATAATAAGCTGCTAATGAACTAATAATAACCTAAATTGTATACATACAATTATATTTAATGATTGTGATTAAAATCAACCTAATATTATGGGTACTCTGTGCTACAACCATCCAATGATAGTGTTATTCCTTGTTTGTTGGAATATATTGAGATCATGAAAAGCCTTCCTAATGAACTAATAATAACCTCCTAAATTGTATACATACAATTATATTTAATGATTGTGATTAAAATCAACCTAATATTACGGGTACTCTGTGCTACAACCAACCAATGATAGTGTTATTCTTTGTTTGTCGGAATATATTGCGATCATAAAAAGCCTGAGGAATATATATATATAGAACACAATATAATTTATTGTGTTCTACTGTCTAACTCAACGTTTCCGCATCATTATTTTCTGTCTTATTTTCTGTTTTATTATTGGAACACACATGGACTAATATGACTATATATATATATATATATATATATGTATATAGGCTATATGTTTGTAGAACTGATTTTTTTAAGACACAAAAAAAGTTTTTAAGAGATACAGTTTGGAATGTTTAAATATAAGGAGGCATAACCACCCTATATTCTACCTTTCCACCAGTACAGGTACACTTTGCTTCAAGTTAAATAATAATCTTAAATTAATGTCTTAATTTCATAGGCAAAATATTGGCATTAAGCTTTAAAGTTAAATAATGGTATCCTAATGAAATTTTAATTGTAATTTAATTTGCCAAGTACAGGTACTTAATGTTACAAACAACCCAATACAATAATATTGTAATTATGTGTATACAATTTAATTATTTAATAGTGCAGCAAGAATGCCTTTTTAGCTGTATATACATAAAAAATATGTTTTTTAGTGATTGTAATTTAATCAGCCAAATAATGTAAAGGCACATGGCTTTAAAGTTAAAAAATAATATCACAATGATTTTTTAATAATGTCCTAATTAGCTGTATATACACACAAAATGTTTTTAGTGGTTGTAATTTCATCAGCCAATAGGCACTTTAAAGTTAAATTATGATATCCTAATGAAATTTTAACAATCTCCTAATTACTATAGCTGTATATACATAAAAATGTTTTTTAGTGATTGTAATTTAATCAGCCAAGTATAGGTACACTTGGCTTCAAGTTAAATAATAATCTCATAATGAATTTTTAATAATGTCCTAATTATCTGTATATACATAAAAAAAATGTTTTTTAGTGATTGTAATTTAATCAGCAAAATACTTATAGGCACTTGGCTTTAAAGTTAAATAATAATATCACAATGATTTTTTAATAATGTCCTAATTAGCTGTATATACATAAGTTATTTTTAGTGATTGTAATTTCATAGGCCAAATATTGGCATTTGGCTTTAAAGTTAAATAATGATATCCTAATGAAATTTTAATATTCTTCTAATTAGCTGTATACACATAAAAATGTTTTTCAGTGATTGTAATTTAATCTGCCAAGTACAGGTACTTAATGCTACAAACAACCCAGTGCAATAATATTGTAATTATGTGTATACAATTTAATTATTTAATAGTGCAACAAGAATGCCTTATTTTTATTTATTTTTTACATTATGTTGATTTCCAGCATATCATATGTATTCATTCCAGCATTTTTATTCATGATTGGCAATGTGTTGTATATTTTAGTAATCAGTTACAGTATATGTAAATAGTTTATTGCGTAAATCATATTTAAATAATAATAGAAATTTAGAACCTGAAACTTGTTGCTTTGTTTGTACATGGCGTCTCTAAACAATAAGTTCCAGAAAGGCTGCATGGATTGCAGTATGTTTTTCTTTAATGTTTGTTT